CGATTCAAGTAAATTTATGTATGTTGAGATGCTTATCCTAAGCATGCAACATTACCAAAAACAAAAATCAGTAATAGCGATAAAACAATATAGCAAAACTATTTGCGTTTAGCTACTACTTCTAAGTGTAGGAAACGGTACAATAGAAAGGTTTAATTGCTTTAGGTGATATACGAAACGACCAAGTAAATGGCTGCTTATGTTTTAGGTTGTAATCTTGAACACATGAAAATAAGTAATATAAATGTTTGCTGTGTTTTTCATGTTAATCATAAATATTCAAAAGCACTCTATGAGAAGGTTAGCTGTGCTTTATATATATATTACCCGTTACATTATGAATGTGAAATTTGACGTAGCAAAAACTGTTTCATAAAACAGGAAATCCGATTAGACTAGCTCTATGAAATGGTAGACCTTTCTAAAGATCCCTCGTTTATGATTATTTATTAATATTATTATTATAATACATTATTCCATAGTACCACGGATGTGTTTACAAGACATTTGTTGTTTGAAAGAACATAATATAGCTTATTCCAAAATATAATGGAAGATATGCAATTGCACTACATGTATATTCTCCTGAGAGCATCCCTGTTACATGATACCATTCCTGTAGGAAACAACAACCATTTCAAAGTTACCAGACATAATCAATCCATTAATGATGCTTTGTTGCATTTTTATGACTATATTGAAGCTGAAAGTGTCCTTGAAACGGAATTTTTCGAGCAATTTCTTTGGATAAAAATGTATAATAAAAAGTTTAAATAATGTTGTTGTTTGTTTTTTAGAGTTTGAGCTTAAAATTTAGGATTAGTCCTTAATGCGGTGAGAATAAATGATGTTTTTTTTTAAGTTGTTCATTTTAGCAACTATTTTTTTTTTAAATAAAATAATATACGAATTGTAGTTTTGCACGAAAGTACTTTTTAAGGCTTGTTTGTGTTTCTTGTTTCTAAATGCAGATTAACAGTGTTTGCACTCGATAAAGAAATACTTTAAGGGAATGCTTGCAGGCATTGATAAATATAGAGCACCATCCTGACAGTTTCCTTTATATTCTATTACGTGGTTTTTGCGATCTGTATTGTCCTTTACCACTCTAACTTCATTAAATATATTTTCTCTAAAACATCACTAAAACCCGCTTTTTTATTTATTATTGAGTAACAACTTTATGTTTTTCTAAATAGCTGAAGTAGTGATAGCTCTAACACCTTGAGCCCCTTATTTAAAATATATATATATATATAGAACTTGGCATATTACAATGAAAGTAAATAGGGATTACAATATTTTTAGATTTGATTGACAAAATCAATGATCTATAGACTATTAGGAATGAGGATGGCATACTTCTTAAACAGCGGAATTGCATATTTTTTCATCTCTGAGGTATTCGGATTATTTGAAATAATTTATTAATATGCCAGATTACATATATATATAGTTGGAATTTTAAAATAACAATGCCTAACGATATTCTTTTAATCCAAGGACAGAACTGGGCTGTATTGTCCTATGAGAAACACTGTTAATTTTTGTAACTAGAACAAAACAAAAACAAGTACTGGACATGCACTTTACAAAATACTAAAATGAAAATTAATTACCTGTAATTAAGACAGGATAGGATATTAATACATCGTCGCTTAAAAAATAACAAACTTCTTCTGACAGTCTAATAAATATTGATTACACAAACTTTGCACATTATATATATATATTAGTAAAGTTCTACTTTTTAACATCTGTAAAAACACACGCGCCTCTATGTAGTAATATCATGGTTTAATGTATTTGAATTATACATAGTAAATTTTGTGCTTTATTATGCTATCTGTGTTTATACTTTAAGAGTTGGAATATATATTTACATACAACTAAGACTAAGCTATAAGCTAGTGCCCTCTGATGACTGAGCGTTAAATCGGAGGATTTATAACGCTAAAAATCGGGTTTCTATATTTGCGGTGGGCAGATTAAAGATATCCCATAGTGTCGATTTGCGCTTAACAGCAAACAAAGCAAAAACAAAATAAGCAACTTCACTTTAACTTTAATTGTCATTCAGTTTTGAATTTCTTTTTAATTTGTGTTAAATCCCAGCAAAAGTTAATACAGGTGTATAATGTAGGCAGTTTTGCAGGTTATTTGGTGATATTAATTATATACAGTTTCAGCTGTTCTTAATTATAAATACTGAAGAACACAATAGTGTAATAACCAGGTTTGATTTCAATTTAAGAGGTTGTGAAAAAGCATCACCTAAATGCTTAAATCGCACTAACCTTTTTTCTTCTTTTGTTTAACTCCTTGATTTTCACACAATATCCCATATCTATATTTATGTATATGCATATAAATATATGTATTGGGAATTATGCCTATAGATGATCAGTGTTATCTCTTAATGTTAGAAACGTCGGTACCTGGAAGTTAGTTTCTTAAAACTCTTGATTTTTCGATTCAAAGAACACCAAGAACATTAGTAGTTTGATCTAATAATATTTAGATGTTTTGGAATTATCTGTTGTTGTTTTTTTAAGACAAACTTAAGTACTCACTTTTAATATGTTTAAATTACATTATATGCGAACGAAAATAATTAAATTACGAATATTTAGAAAATTCAATATTAAGTTATCGTTCTCTAAACATTAAGAATGGAATTCCAGCATCTAGGTGTTAATTACTTTAGTTTAGTAAGCCTGATCTTTTAATATAAACATACATTACGTTTTAATCAGTTAGCTTACATATATTCAAATTATCTCTCATGCTCGAAATGTCAGCCCCCCCCCCAGTGGCACAGCGATATGTCTGCGGACTTACAACGCTAGAAACCTGGTTTCGATACTCGTGGTGGGCAGAGCACAGATAGCCCATTGTGTAGCTCTGTGCTTAATTCCAAACAAACAATCGAAATATCACTTTTCATAAATGCCACTGTTTTATCGCTTCTTTTTTTTTTTTGAAATTTATAATTTCTGTACTTAAATATCAAGGTTTCAGGTACATTACATTGTTGTGTTTTATGAATGTTAGTGTCTAAATTTTAAAACATTTGGTTAACCACAGTTTAATTGTTGGTACCTCGTGTGCTAAATTATTCATTTTGAAATGTCTGTAAATTCGTAACTTACCTCTCCTTTTATAATTCACAACAGTCTGGTAGATTTTCTTAGATACTCATCAAGCACTGTTGCTTGCATAAGAAACTCATGTTTGAATGCTGTATGTTGTTTATACAGATGTGGGTTTATATCTCACTCTGCTTGCGTGTGAAATTATTAAATTTTGTTTGCTTGTTTTCTTTTTCGAATCTTCGCGCAATGCTACTTAAGGACTGAATATCTGAACGATTCGTCTTTACACCGCTAACTTTTGAACTACTCTTGTGTGACCGAATTATGGGAGCATACAGTCATCCTTATAGCGCACCCACATTTTCAAGGTGCAGAACATTATTTTTTGTGTTTGTTTAAGTGAGGTGTAACGGGACGTAAACATTGGATCGGCAATCCTAAATCCGACAGACTTATGTTGCCATGATCGGCCCAAGTTAACTAATAATTTTAGATTTGCTGGATGTAGCAAATGTTTATCTACAGTGCACTACGTGTTTAAAACCTAGGTTTCTATATATTAAAATTATAAACTCAGTGCAAAATGGATTTTAATTTCATAGGAATTACTCATCTTGTTTATCTACATAGCACGTAGATTACTGATAAGAGAAAGCATCTTTAAAGATTATTATACTTCAGAGTCTACAACGTTCACTTAAATTCGAAATATTCATGCAACGCATTTTAACCTATCTTAATCCTTTGCTAAGATTCTGGGCCACAGTTTATATGTGATATTACAGATGTTTGACAGCATAACCTTCTCAACAAAGAAATTATTAATGATACCTTACAGATATTATATGTATAAATATAAACTGACTTAGAAAAGAATAATTAGATGTTTGATAGCATAACCTTCTCAACAAATCAATTATTAATGATACCTTGCGGATATTATATGTATAAATATACATTGACTTAGAAAAGAATCAGTATTTTTTTTCCCCAGTGAAACGTTTGGATAAAATGTTTACCTTTGAATGTTTTATTTATGTTCATGTGTTGTTGTAACCTACACACTGTACCAGAAATTAGAAGATTGTTTGTTTGTTTGTAATTAAGCGCAAAGCTACAAAATGGGCAATCTGTGCTCTGCCCACCACGGGTATCGAAACCAGGATTCTAGCGTTGGAAGTCCGCAGACATACCGCTGTGCCACTGGGGGGGAGGGCGAAATTATAAGAAATCGCAATATCTCTTTCGACAAGTCACTTACTTGATTTTAATTTTCACACATCGAATATGTGAATTTTTTATTCAATTTCATAGTCTAATATTGTGTGAAAAACCCCCTTACACATAAATATATAGGTAACATCAAAGTGAACTATTCATATTAGTCTTTCCATATGATTTTGTATTTTAGTTCTATAATAGGAGTCACTGAAAAGTGCTTATTTTTTAAATATGATAACAAATATAAAACTGTCTTCTAGAAAGCCTGGATTTTACTTTCATATTTGAAATATATTAAAATTTCCTGAAGTAAAAATTATTTGTTTGTTGTTAAGCGCAAAGCTTCAAAATAAGTGAACTATGCCATTCCCACTGAGAGCATCGAAATCTAATTATGAGTGTTATAAACCATCAGACTTACTGCTGAGCCACAGGTGAGGAGGGCGTAGAAAATGTTTGTCTAAAGCGTAATACATATCTGAAATATCTGTTTGTATAAAAGCATACAGTTGGTTGCCCCAAATAATTCCAAAACTCTACCGGAAACTACAAAACGAGCTTTAAAATTGTTTTTTTTTTAAGTGAAGTCAACTTAATTCAGTATCTATGGTCTCACAAAACTGTCAAAAAATATTATTATAATAATATGCGGCTTATTCATTAACAAATATAATATCATTCTAGATGTCGCTGCAGTAAAGATCAGGAGGCTGTCAGTTCCACGTTGGGTTGAGAATGGGACAGAAAGACCCATTACGCTGGACTGCGAGTACTTATACACCCATAACGACTTGCACTTGGTGGTCAAATGGTTTTATAATAACGAGGTAAAGCCGGTTTACCAGTGGATTCCAGCGCTCAGCACCCGTTACGTTTCAGGGTTTCTTCAAGGACGGTTGGATGACACTTTTGTAGCAGAACCAATGGACTCGTACTCTCGATACCGGGCTCTGAGGATCATTAAACCTACAATTGATATGACTGGCACCTACACGTGTGTTGTGACTTCCTTAGCCAACCAGGACTCTCGTGAGCAGGGGATGGTTGTTTATGGTAAGCCTGTCATATTTAGAAATAAATATAAGTCCATCTGACACTCCTTGTGTTGCTTTCATAGACGTGAATTTATATTTAAACGTATTAAGCATATAATCTATGAACCTAAGCTTTTGCAGTACCATTCTACATATAATTAATATAAAGACTTACGGACTGCTTACAAATATGGTGACACAAGATTATAAGCAATTAAACACTGTTTACTGGTATTGGTATTTTTAATTTGAACAGCAACTTTTGCACAGATGTCAGAGACTCCTAATGTCCAGATATAGCCATCCCTAATTTTGAACTACTGATCAGAGGCAAGGTAAGAAATCAGAAACTCCTGCCACCACAAAGGTTTGAACAGACTAACAAGATCGTTTGGTGATGTTATCACGCACTCATAGCTGGAAATTTGAAGCATGTTGGGCAGCGTCGAGGATGAACCTTATACCTTACGATACGCAGCCCGGCACGCAAACAATTATGCCTCACCTGGTTTAACATTATTTATAATGAAGCAACAATCTGGAATATTGTAACAAATGATTTAATGCAGTTCAAAATACAGGATATATAATACTGGTATCTTAATGAAAAGCTACTCAGTGGGCTATGTGTGCTACGTCCACTTCAGTAATCAGACATTAAAATTTAGCGTTGTAACTACCCAACCTTACTGGTAACTCATAGAGAAATGGATATGTAATAAGAAAACTCTCTATTAAATAACATATTTCTAGTAGTATAATAACAACGATCTCAAATAAGCGTAAATAAACAAATTAATATATCGAAACTAGTTACTTTTTGTCGTAAAGAGTATTAGCATGTTAACTCAAAGATACTTTACAAATATGTGTTTTTGTAAATAGATTATCTGTTAGGCCTACAAAAAATCAAACTAGTCCAGAGCTAAACCGATTAAGCAAGTTATTACACTAATCGATATACCGCTAAACCCAGGGAACTGAGTATTAAGTAATGAAAGTAAAGAAATATATGTGGAACTGTGTCCAACGAATCAGTAAGGTTTCACACATTAAACAAAGCAACATTAAAGTAGCCTCCCAGTAACACAGCGGTACGTCTGCGGACTTACAACGCTAGAAACCGGGTTTCGATACCCGTGGTGGGCAGAGCTCTTGTGTAGTTTTGTGCATAATTAAAAACAAACAATATTAAAGTTAGTGGTAGAAGTAAAATACCGTAAACAACAACATCTGACGCTTAGGTAAATTACGACCCACTTTATCTGCTGTTCTTCATAAAGCATGCAGAACAAACGATGGTTTTGTGATTTGGAATAATCAATAAGGGTTATTCTTTGGAAAAATAAGAAAAAGTAACGATTAAAACCAAACACTGTTTGTAATGCAAGAGTTATTTTTTCTTTACTGCTTAGCATTTTAACGCATTAACGAGAGCAGTGTTGTTCATCTTAATATCTGGAGCACGTTAATTAACATTTTCTTAAGGGCAGAATTTAAATTTTAGCTGTCTTGTTAACTAATTAAATAGTATAGAAAAATTAAACATACTTTTTATATATTATGTTCTTTAAGGTCCAACTAGCACCCGAAGATCGCCATCATTTATGAATGGTATTTTGTACTTCTGTCAAAATTGCCTCTACATTGAAATGAGTGGATAACGGTTAATATTGTTCGGACTCTATTTTTAAAATGAAAAATCTATTCAGACTGAGAGGTCAAAAAGCAGAAAGATTTAATGTATTCTCATTATCTTTGACAGGAAAAAAAGAGAATAGAAAACTAAATATATTTATATTTGCTTTATTTATTTGCTTGTAATCATCCACAAAGCTCTCTGTGCTCTGCCCACCACGAGTATCGGAACCCGATTTCTAGGATTGTAAATCTGCAATCATACCCTTGTGCCACTGGGTAGCTTATATTGATGACAAATCAACTAAGGATATCTGACGGCGTCCATGATTTTGAGCTACTGACCAAAGGGAATGCGACGTGCTATACCTTCACTTTGCTTTCCCTTCTTACATCCTATATCCATCAATACTATGTAGTTTGTACTTATTCCTATCAAGAATTGAGTCATACCAGTGTCAGACGCAGAAGAAATTGCTGTTTATTACCGGTAACCAATAACGCATAGATTAAGAAATATATTTTGTTTCTTCTTTTGCCTCTCTCGGTTTATTCATTCTCTCTCACATCTCCCAGTCGATTGAACTGAGAAAGACGGTTGCTCACTCCAATCATTCTCTAATCACCGAATTCTTTAGAGACTGCCAAAGATCTGGCGCTTTTTCACCTCTCTCACTTTCAACTGATGTTCCTTATACTTAACTTCATGATAAGGAATGTAGTCAACCTGTCGGCAACATCTTGTCATACATCATCCATGCTAAGCGATTAACTGACATTGTTATAACGTAACCACAATAGTGCGAGCAATATTATGTTGTAACGCATGGGCTTAAATTCGTCTCGCCAGTTCAAAAATCCAGAGTTCTATTACAGGGCCCTTGGTGAAAACATGTAACAACTATTGCGTTTGCATCTACATGAAATGCTTAACACCTCTATATAATTTCACCGTCCTATATCATACCGTTCATGAGTTATGATATTAATTCAATATGCAGAAAAAGTTTACCTAATATTTTTCAATAACAATAATGTTAATGTTGTTTTTTTCGTCTTGTTAATTTTGCCTTTGTTTGTAGAAGAGATGATTAACGAACTAAAATGTTGCCATTAATCATGATGTTTTACATAGTCATCTTATCACTGGTTGAATAAAAGTGTTCCTTAATCATCTGGAGACGAGTTCGACTTTCCTGGATTCATTAAAAGGGAAACGTTTCAATGGGATGAAAGGAAAACGAGTTGCCATATTTCCTTTTTGAATTCCTAATGATAACTTTACAAGATAATTAAGGAAACAGTGTACAGGCCATTTCTCTCTCTTTAATATTCAATTACATCGAATCACCTTGTCAGTGAAACGATCGATGTCCGTAGATCGTAACACGTGATTTTTAGATATAGGTATATTTCAATATATTTTCTGACGATAGATGCTCTGATAAGTTTCAGATACAAGTTTTTCTTAACTTCGAAAAAATATTTAGTTGTTGAAATCAAAGCGATGGTTAAATATGTTTGTATTGATTTACTACACTAATTGGTTTTCTTTAAGGGTTTTTCTTTCTTTTGGTAGTTATAGTTCATTAGACGATTTAAATTGCTCTGTTATCCTTTTCTAATATTTATGAACTAGTTATATATATGTGAATACATAATTACTTTAAGTAATTTCTAGTCTGTTTTATTACAGGATATTAAGTTAATAATTTTGTACTTGTATAAATTAATTTTATGTAAGCTTAAACTTAGCTTTGTTTGAATTTCAAGAGGTATTTGTGCTACTTTAATGAAAAAAATATTCGCTATTGTAAAAGTTTTATTGAAACATCTTTCTAGAAAGGTAATCTGAAACGCTACTAAAATAGCTGAAACGAAATTGTTGTTTTATGAAGGAGAACTGGCTGTTTATTTTGCATGTTCATATATATAAATTTACTAGTAAAAATCCAAATAAACAGAAAAACTATAATTTTCTGTAATTTTACCTATCTTTTTTACATCTCTCACTCTTCAAACATGTTGTGAATCTATACTAATATATTTTCTGAAATCTCAGAAAGAAAAAAACTGTGTTAAGTTTAAACTAAATCTGAAGAGAGTCTTTTATATATATTATAAATGCTGTAAAAACAAGTACGTTAAGGCAGTGCTTCTCAAACTGTGTGCAACGGATTTTTTGCAATTATTAAGTATTACTAATTGTTTTAAATTTCAAATTGTATTTATTTTCTCGTTGATACACAGTATAACAGTAATTTCTGCCTCTCTTAGTCAGGGGGCCGCCACTAGACCTGCCATACGGACTTATTTACGTGTGCCGCAAAAAGTTCGGGGCATTAAAAGTGTGGCGCGAGCTGAACATATTTGGGAACCACTGCGTTAAGGTTTTTTTGGGGTATGTTTAAGCCATGTAAACGGTATCAAAATAGTCACGTCTAGGCTGAGTGATTGTATGTAGAGATCATGAAATTGGGGCCAAAGACAAAACAAAGCGCGAAGATGTTAAAGCTTTTCCAAACTGATCACTTTCAATAAATATTCTCATAAAATAATAATAAAACAATTTCGTTTGGGTTCTGGATCCTTTAAATATGTTTGAAAAATTCAGTTTTAGTTTCCACGTCATAATGCATGAAGGAACTAACAATCACTTTAGTCGGAAACATGTCTTTCACCCGTGGGGGCGTTATAATGTGACTGTCAATCCAACTATTCGTTGGTAAAAGAGTAGCCCAAGAATTGGCGGTGGGCGGTGATGACTAGCTGCTTTCCCTCCAGTCTTTCACTACTAAATTAGGGACAGCTAGCGCAGATAGCCCTCGTGTAGCTTTGGGCGAAATTCAAAAACAAACAAACAGTATGTCGGTAATAAAAGCTTTGTTATTATTATGCTCAGTATGTTACTTATAAAATCTATCATTATTGTTATATTCAGTATATTGGTGATAAAATCTTTACTGTTCTTATGTTTAGTATTTTTTGTGATAAAATCTTTAATCTTTATTATGTTCGTTATGTAGCTTTGCACGAAATTCCAAAACAAACCAAACCAAAAATTCTTTCTGTTAATTCCAGAACTTCTTGGCTAACCTAGACATTATGCAGGAAACGAGTTTATAAAATGCAATTTTTATAGTGTAAAACTCCAAAACTAACAAAGCGCAAAAAAAAATATAATTTAAGAATTATCTACTTCAAAGTAAAAAAAGTTTCAAAGCAGTTTTAGATCGTTTTTGTTTGAAGTGCATAAAAGGCAAAAATTATAATAGTAAGCATTAGCAGTCAAACTCTTTCCAAACTTATAATAGTAAGCATTAGCAGTCAAACTCTTTCCAAACTTAATGTATTTTCTCGCCTCACCAGCATAGGTGTTGA